TAAATCCCGGAGGGTAATAAACGAAATGGCGAGACCAATAAGCCACTACACCGGAGTGTACACAAGAACGCCAAACAAGATGACAGATACGAACTGTAAACATCTACGTTAACCGTGCGCACAAACACACAGAGAGAGAAGTACTTTCGAGGGACGAAATAAACAAGGACGCGTCAGACTGAGGACAACTGAGAGACAAGTACAGTGAAAAGGGAGTCTGTGGCGAAAATAAAACAGACGGGATGAAAGTAAAAATCGAAAATTACATTAAAGCGCGACTGTTGAAGAGATTGGGGGAGTGCAGTCAAAAAGACGATGATAAAGAAGTCCGGCTTCGTAAAAATGGAACAAGATCGGAGTGGAGTTGACTTGATATAGCATATCACAAAATATAAAAGTAAGGAAACGCCGGCGGTCAATGCAGCCAGATTTGCTTCTGTGTAGGAAGCCATCTCGTTTGAGGATGTGTCTCTCGGGCTGGAGGAAGTCATTGAAAGTGGAAAAGCGGGCGATCGGAGATCGGGATTAAGCAAACTCTGCTATGAGCGCGCGCGCGCGCTGAGCAGTAATTTTATTTGCGTAGGTGTAGGTGTGCTAGCTGGGTAATTTCGTTGTGACTTCCGCTGGTTCCCAGTGCTACTCGGCGCCAGGCAGCCTAAAAGTAGTTTCAGACGACAGCAGAAGTTAGATCAAACACACAGGGGGCGAGGACGGAACATAAATATAGCCTAAGTGGAGACATTCGTTGAACAAGACAAGACACGAGTCTAGGTCTCAATTTGAAAAAAAAGACAACGAAGAGCGTGAACAACTATCCGGTTCTCACGATGGCAAATCAAAACATTCTGTTAACTTCGGCCGGCCGGGTCGGTTGCAACATCATGTGCATCAATGGATTTCGAAGTGTGCACTCATGTTCAGTTATATCCACCAGCGCAACCGTACCAGGTGTGCCTGACTTGTCTGATGCTCAGGTGACTAATTCCAGTTTTCTCCAAACTTTACTTTAAATTTTCTTTCTCGAGTGTTGAGAGAAGTTAAGAGTAAGTCACAAAGATAGCGTGTAACTTCCTGTCGGATTATGCATGTTCAAAGGAGAGACAATTTGTTTAGTACCATGGAACAACTATCGACATTGTGATGACCCCAAAAATATTCCGTTAGAGCTAATGTGTCACCCACTTCTCGAGTTTTGAAGCCAATTAATTCGAAAACTAAGGTTTCGAAGCTAGTGATGCAGTGTTCGAAAGGAAATTCAATCAATTTAAAAGGCAAAAATCCTACGTAGAGTTACGGTTAAATGGTTTCCATAGTTAGATTAGAACGGTAGGATAATCAGACTATAAATTGCAGGAAAAAAAGTACTTCTGATGCGACTTGAAGTATCCGCCGCACGGTCAACTGGGGCTCCTGCTGGACCGGGAATGCAAACGGCGACGAATTCTGCCTGGCCCTAGGTGCTGCAGATGCAAGAGTTGGCTTGGAAGCACTGGGAGTCAGTCTTCGCGAACCCGAGGACACCATGATATTGTTCACCTCTTTGGAGGTTTGCACCCGATTCCAGACTGTTGCTTTGGCTGTAAGGAGAGCGATCGAGTCCGAACTGCAGCTGTCTGGAAAAAGGGGTGTCAGTGAGCGCTTGGGCGGAGGCAAGAAGGGCGATGAAAGCTGAGAGCGTGCCGGGTCAGACGAAGACGGCATTGGGGAACTGGACAGTTTTACTGTAGGACGCGGGGAGCAGACAGTTGAACCCGTTGTGTCCTGCAAGAACACACACAGAATGGTTATTGACTACCATGACCAAGACATGGTATGAGAGGTTGTTTTCTACACTAGTTAAGTGAAAAAAAATTTGCACTGGGATCTAAAACTCTAAGGCGCTGCAGCGCACGGAGAAGATCTGTAGGAAGCACAGGAAATAAAAGTCGAGCAGTTGTGAGGAGCACCAATTTGAAAGTTGGATGACAAAAACAATGAGAAGTAGGTATAGACCACAGTAACCAAATAAGAAGCGCACATATAATATCGTCTTCAAGCTAACCCCATACAACTCCAGCGTATAAATTAGACGCTTCCAGTGCTAACAGCCAATAGTGATTACACTACAAAATAGCATCACGAGGCTATTGAGATTACTTGCTCAGTTACAACGCTCAATAGCTTGTTGGGCTACGCTGTTCTAACAAGCAAGGGTAGCTCTCTACTTTACTTAAGGTTTTAACATTCAGCTGGGCACTGTGGTCGATGACTGTTTCAATTAAAGAGTGAGGCAGACAGTATGACGAGTTATCTAACAGAACATCCGTCGTTTTAGACAAGGCCTGTAAGTAGTGGTCTGAGTGGTGCAGGAAAAATCCAACTTACCGAGTTTTGTTCGGCTTTAATTACTCGGTGTAATGATGATTTGTCGTCGTTACGAGCTGGCTTCGTATCCACAGTGGAAGAGAAGAGTGCCCGAGGTTTTAAAGGGACCGAGGGAAAGCAGTGATGCGATGGATGGTTGCCTGACTTAGAGGCTGAGGCGGGGAACACTGACG